CTTGATGATTTTTAAATTCAACAACAAAAAAGATCAAATGCATCTTCCTTTGATTTCAAGAAATATCCAAAGATACGTCTACTATACGAATCCACAATAATGTACAGATAGTTTGCACCATCCAGTGATTTGGTTGGCATAGGGCCACAGAGATCCATGTGTATAAGTTCTAATGGTCTTTCAGCATCATTATTCTCGATAGCTTTGAAAGAGCTTTGAGTTAGTTTACTAAGGATATATGGTTCACATTTTTCTAGATGCTGATAATCAAAATTAAGTCCTTCAACCATATTATTCTTCATCATTCTATCCAAGTATTCTTCGTTCAAGTGTTCTAGTCTTCTATACCAAATTGTCTTGGTAGAACATTTTGTTTTCTGATTTTAAATAATTGTCTTTAATAAATTAAATTTAATTACCATCTATATCGTTGAAATGTTACATAAATAAATTGTCTTTAGTGCTTAAATATTTTTGGTGAAGTTTTAATGATAAATATTATATCTTCTTCATTGCCCTCAGCTACTAATTATCCATTCCAATTATTAATTTTAGCTATCCCTTTCTCAAAATTTACTTTGTTGCCATTATTAAATAGACATCTCACTCTCTAACAGAAAGAAGATTAGATTTAAATATAGGCACATAGAGCACATTCTTATTACAAAAAAAAATGCATAATATTGAAGCGATGCAGCAGAGAAGTAGAAGGGAAGAACGTATGCAGAGGCCCCGTCCAGGAAGTGTTGATTGACAAATTCCAGGGGAGGGGGTGGCAGACACTCGAGGCAGTCCAGCTGGTGCCGCGGTGGGGAAGGGATCAGCCGAGTCAGCTGGCCGGCCTGCCGGGGGTTTGTGTGCCGAGACGACCTGCCAGCTGGGGAGAGAAGTCTGTCTGGTGACAACGGGACCTGCAGCGAGGAGAACGGCGGTGGTGACAACAGACGCAGCAGGTGGGCACCGAACGTGTGGCCGTATGGACTGACCGGGAAGACGGTAGCGGAGAAGGATCCCTCTAGTGGCGGACATTGAAGGCAAGTTAATCTTCTACTGTATAGTTACTTATCTACTCTTCAAAGCTCTAATAAATACACCGCAATAAGCTGTATCCTAAAGAATCCACATTGACGGCTGAGAAGCGTCGTAACATTTGGTGTCAGAAGTGGGATACAGCTTAGTTAATTTTAATTGAAGATTTTATTTTGCGCTAATTTAAAAAGAAAAATGGAAAAACTAACCGACCTCGAAATTGAAAAAATCACAAAATTGCTCAGACTAATAAGTCAGAAAGTAGATGAGCTCGGAGAAAACTTGGATTCTCGGTTGAGCCGACTCGAGCATATTCGGAATGTCAAACGTTCTGCCACACCCATGTCTTGCGAAGTTAAGTTCAATGTACTACCGCCAGAGAATCCGGATGGCTTTTCAAAATCAATCACAGCAACCATTAGCCCACGTATTCAATGTCTGAGGGGACAAAAGACGATCCCAGGTGATGAAGATCCCGACAAGACCATCACAACAAAGATCATCACGTCAGGAGACGTTGTAAGTGAACTGCCAGAATCTACGCTAGAAGATTCTCCCGTGATCCAGAAGTCCGAAGAGTGTCGACAGCAGGAAATGATCCAGACTGGTTGTGTAGTGGAGGAGGGTGAGCTGATCGCCTCCGACAACGGCTGTGGCACGAGTGTTTTGTATAAAATCAAGCGGACGGAAGGAGAATGCCCTCAAGGTGATATACAGAGCGAAAATTCAACCCCTGGGATTCTTTCTGAAATACTCCATGAGAACAGCAACGATCTTGGCGAGCTGCAGTGCGACAGCGTGGCTGACTTCAGCGACAGTGTCAGACTGTCAGGGACTACAGCGGCGATCCAACTGGACGGGATGGAGCTGGATGCTCCGTGGAAGTGCGACAAGGCTAGATGGTCGAAGCACCCTGAAGTTGGAGCCGGCAACCCGACTGAACGGGATAGAGCATTGGACGCTCTGTGGAAGTCCGACGACAATGTCTGTGACGCGGAAGTCGCGCGCAATGTGTCAGTGCCGTCGTCTGCAATGCAAGCTGAAGAGATGTGCCAAGAATGTGTACCATTCATCTTCGTTCCTTCGCCCGACAAGGTGCAGATCAAGCAGCCACCGCCTAGGAAAAGTTCTACCGACCTTGAGACTGCCACGGGATCCGACACCTCCAGAAGGTTTAAGAAATTCACAGCCCTGTGCGTGGTCGGCACTAAGGAGCCCAGGTTTGAAGGGTTAGGAAAAAGAGAGCCTCTAGAGCAAGAGAATGGGAAACCTAGAGAAGAAAAGAGAGGCCACGATATGGACAGCGTGGATCAGGTGGACGAATCCACTGTAAAGATCGGCGATCTTAAGCCCCGTCGTGGAAGGAAGCGGCGAAAGCGCAACACAAACGATCACAACCCTTTGTACATTGTGGCTACAGAGTGTTCTCAAGGAGAATTCAAAATATCAGATGGGAGCATCGTAGGCTGTGAAATATGGCCGCCATCTTGTGGAGAACCACCGCCCTGTGCTAGACAGCGAGACCAATCAATGGCGTCGGCACTGGTTGAGAGTGGAAAGAAAGCCCGAGTTGAGATGTGGTTCTGCAAACAAGGGTTGGTGTTAACCCTGCCGTTACGCTTCCGGGAGGCTGACGAACCTTATGTGGCCAGAAACGTCAGGGAGATCAAAGGGCCGCCGATCAGCGCCTCTGGTGAAATTAGCCTTTTCGGGACGAAAAGGATTGAGAAGGGGGCAGTGAAGCGATGCAGCAGAGAAGTAGAAGGGAAGAAAGTATGCAGAGGCCCCGTCCAGGAAGTGTTGATTGACAAATTCCAGGGGAGGGGGTGGCAGACACTCGAGGCAGTCCAGCTGGTGCCGCGGTGGGGAAGGGATCAGCCGAGTCAGCTGGCCGGCCTGCCGGGGGTTTGTGTGCCGAGACGACCTGCCAGCTGGGGAGAGAAGTCTGTCTGGTGACAACGGGACCTGCAGCGAGGAGAACGGCGGTGGTGACAACAGACGCAGCAGGTGGGCACCGAACGTGTGGCCGTATGGACTGACCGGGAAGACGGTAGCGGAGAAGGATCCCTCTAGTGGCGGACATTGAAGGCAAGTTAATCTTCTACTGTATAGTTACTTATCTACTCTTCAAAGCTCTAATAAATACACCGCAATAAGCTGTATCCTAAAGAATCCACATTGTTCTCTTAGAAACCTTGAACGCAAACATCGACGGCTGAGAAGCGTCGTAACAATATACTGCAACTCTTTTTTATTAACCTGTGATAATGAGGACATCCTAAATACAAATATCTCGCTTGCCTTCACTTGTGTATGTTGACATTTCGCATCACATTGTGCTTCAGCTTTTATGAATCTTCCTTCTTCTGCAAAGTTAATGTCACTGTCAATAGGAATATTGTTGATGAGTCAATCTTCTCTAGGAGACATATGTGAAGTGCATCCTGAATCAAGGTTCCAAATGTATGTATTTTCCTCTCTCTCTCTCTCTTATGTAAATGTGAAGAGGAGTAGTTCATTTCCGCCGAAGTAAACTCATGTTCTTATATATAGAACATTTACACTCATTAATGATGCAGTTAAAAGAAATTTAGAAATTATATATAACAACATTAAAAAATATCTAATCAATGAAGATTTTCCATCAAATTGATAGATCGAATAATAGAAGACATGAACCTAAAATATATGAGAATAATATTTTAATTCAAAATTTAAAGGGCAATAACCAAGAAGTCAAATTCATCAGATTACCATTTATAAACCTAAAGTTTGAAAAATATTTAATTGAATAAAAAAAGGGTCTGGAGGCAATATAGTCATTTATTTAACAATTAAGATATTATAAAAATAAAACACCAATAAATAAAATATTTAAAGCCTTCCATCCCTGGCAGCCCTTGTGCATGAACTTGTAACTATTTTATAACTCTAATTTAACTTTTCACATTATTCTTTCATTACCTTTCTTTAACTATCTGCTCTCTAAATATCTCACTTTAGTATATATTACCTGTACATATCCGAGGGAAACGACTAACCGCTTGACTTTGTCCCCTTGCAAATATACCATTTTTTTCACTAAACCATTTGCAGATGATACCGGAAAAGTCCCCAGATGGACTTGAGCGGGCGATCTAAGTGTAAGCCGTTCAATATTTGGACTGATGTTTTGGTTTTGATATATTTTCTCTGTCTCATTCAGTACTTTTGTCTGAAGATGGTAACAGCGCATAATGATTTTTCGAAATGGTGGAAAGACGGCGCGTTCTGATGAATGCTATAGGAGACAACGTGCTTTGAACGTCGCATTAAAATATACATACCTAGGATACCAGCTTACCCCTTCAATTTCTTTCAAGGCAGCGATGTGGGAGCCGTTGGAAAGATCCTTTTAAAATCCAAGATAAATTATTTTCATGCAAGTATGAAATTATTGAACTCCATGATTTTAGCGGTTCTACTCTCTGCGGCTCCAATCTGATCAGACCGTAATATTAAATAAAATTCAGGATACCTTTCTTTGGCGATATTTAAACCTTCCATGATACACTCAGGGTTAAATTCTGAGGGCAGAAACAGAAAGAAATTCTCTCGATGTCATAGTGAAGAAATTAACCCTAAAATTATAGATAAGAATACTGATATGGACCCCAGTAGGATATCTTCAATCTGTTTGATGCGCATTTATGGGATATATCAACATCTGAAAAACAGAATATAGGCTTGGTAAAAGGCGTGACGTAGATATTGAATAACACAGGTTTTTTCGTGGCATTTTGTGTGTGGAGATGCACATATACATTTCAATACTTTACAAAGAAACATTCCTATAGTTATTAGAACTACAATAGACCAATCTAAAGTTGGACAATGCAATAATAAGAAATGCTGTACTCTATTCTCACTATAAGAATTTTCACACGTCAACTAAAATGGAGTGTTACCTTAACGCTGATATCCCAATGACTGTGAAGGCCTAGTGGACATGGCACCTGCCCGGTAAGCAGAAGGTTGTGGGTTCGATTCCCGCCCCTGGACACTTTTATTTTTCCGATCGCCATTACTCTTCATAATTCATCTTTTCATACCTCATCCAAAAAAGGTTAAAAAATAGTCGTTATTTTACCTTGAAATAAAAAATTTGATTTATCGTTTAAAAGAAACTTATGCGGTGTAACTTCGGGTGTCGTTTTACAATCACAGGCCGCAGTATATTATATTGTATTATAAGTTACTTTAAATATTAGTTACGATCGGAGGAATACGTCCAGGGTAGCCTAGTGGACATGGCACCTGCCCGGTAAGCAGAAGGTTGTGGGTTCGATTCCCACCCCTGGACACTATTATTTTTCCGATCGCCATTACTCTTCATAATTCATCTTTTCATACCTCATCCAAAAAGGTTAAAAATAGTCGTTATTTTACCTTGATATAAAAAATTGATTTATCGTTTAAAAGAAACTTATGCGGTGTAACTTCGGGTGTCGTTTTACTTTCGTCTGAATTTGTTCAAGGCTGATATAGTGATCTATTCTTTACACCAAATTCTATGTAAACATTATTTTAAAAATATTAATGAATTATTTTGAGGCATTCTTGTTTTGAGGCAAACTTTTATTTTGATGTTGTTTGGGTAGTTAATTTTTTTGAATATTTGTTCAAAATTCACTTTTAGAATTAAATTTAATTTTATACATTTATATAAATTTTCTAAAAATTAACACAATATAACAAAAATTATAATTTAAATATAAAGGTATTGTTTATTTTTAAATTCGAAAAATAACGTTCGATTTTAAATCGCCTCGAATTATTCGATTTTAGAAACAACATATTTTGCTTTTGTTGATATTAGAGCATAGAAAGCTTTGTTTATATTGCTCTTTACTCATTTAAATTTATCAAAGTTTACTACACGCTTCGCAAAAGGACTAACTTATATGTTATTCTAATAGAACATTTAATATGGATCTACTTATATGGGCTTTAACTATTAAATTAGATCAAATCTATGAATACTTTGATAGAAAGATTCAACAGAATTGAACAAAAATAATAATTTATTATTTTCTATCTACAATGGACAGATAAACTATGGATGGAATTACAGCTTTGAAATATATTAACATTTGCGACTTTCTTGAACAAATGTCTGATATTCTTTATTAATAAAAATAGGGAAAATACAAATTGAATTCTGGACAATGAGACTCTCCATCTCAGAAATTTAAAAAGAGCAAAATTTCTCGAAGAAATTATCAAAAGTGAGTAAAACACAAAGATATAACTATTAATACTCTGCCAATCAATGAATAAAATACTACTAATGCGCGCGCGATGTAATAATAGATAACATTAATAGGAAGAGGGTAAGACGAACAGGATAATAAACATTTAAAAAATTCTAATTAACAAGACGCTAAGACTCGGATTCACTGAAATAAGAATTCTGAAAATCAGACGAACTAACAAGTATATGCAAAACATTCGTACCGGTAAAGAGAGATCCAAAGATAGTGGTCAAACATGTAAGTAAAGTTACGGGAATAAATTGCTACGCGCGCGTGAAAACAATCTGCCAAATGAAGGACGAATTATTGTTCCCACGCTGGAAAACATACCCTATCCTTTCTGCATATATTTCTCTGCATATATCTTTTTATATATAAAAGCCATTATAAAGAATTATATAAAGAAAAAAGATATTCTGCTTGTATTTAGAATTGTTGAGATTATCTTAATTTTGGTTATCTTGAGGATTAAGCTATGGCGGTGCAGTCGTGGTTGAATGATCTTGAAATAAAAATAATAATATGATTTTGATCAGTAATTGCTTTAAATGTGATAAAGGAATATATAAAAGAACATAATTTGATTAAAGTACTGCCTGGCTTAAGGCGTAAGAATAAAAAAATTAAAAGCTTATTTACATAATCTACAAATGTTTTGAGCCGACCACGTGAAACAACAACAATCGGTTTTATATAGGGTAAGCGTGACCTCTGGCGGTCGATTTAACAGAATATTTGTATCTATGAAATATATTTTTAAATAAAATAATATTTTAATATAACATTTTAAATAATACCTTTATATAACACATATCTCTATATATATAAAAGTCAATTTCTGTCTGTCTGTTTCGCGATAAACTCAAAAACTACTGAACCAATTGGTACCAAATTTTGCATGTCGCTTTTTATAAACCTGAGGAAAAATTTCGACTACATTTTGGTTAGCATTTTTGGCTATTTATTTTTTTTTCAATTGAAGAACTTTTTTTACGCTGAGTAAATAAGAGGCGAAGCAACAACACCAGGCCAATTAAGCGACCAATGACCGTTCTGCATTTTTTTTTTTTTCAAGTTGCTAGCGTACTTTTTTTAAATATATTTTTATACGAGCATTACTTTTTTTTTTACAAAAGTATTGAGTATTGAGAGAGAATTTTATTACTAAGTTATGGTATGTGCACACAATGCAATTAAAAAAAAAACTTTGCAAAATTAGCGTTACTGTATGTAAATAATGACTCGTATCTTTTATTAATTTTTGTTATGGCCTTTTTTTTAAAATCTTCTCTTTGAAAAAATCGTTCAAAATGCAGTCGCAGTCATTAGAAAACACATATGTTTGCCTAATTTCCATGTGCTCTTTTATTTTTTACATAAAAATATTTACATTCCAGTATTTTGGATTAATTTTTTTATAAACCTATTTTTTCTTATTCTTATTGAGAAGTTGGGCATCGCAGTCACTCACTTAACTCAGGCAATTTCAAGGGTTAATGCACTGGAGCGGGTACCTCGGGGTTGAGTGGAAAATCTGCCATTTATTCAAACTATATTGATTTTAAACAACTAAATGGATTGCAAAAAAAAAATAATAATAATTAAATCAAATACCTAAACACTAATATAATATAATTTTTGCCATAACACACATTTTTTGCCTGTGGTTTATGTGTTACTTCTGTATTGCTATTCTATGACACTTCTACTATTTATTTTTGTTGTATTTTCAGTGTGAAGGAAATTGCACTCGGGGGGAATTCTCGGGCGAAGCCGGGTCATTCGTCTAGTAAAAATATAAATATTAAATTTTATTTGTACACACACACATTCTGTTATATGATCTATAAAATAATCCTTGTATCGGTAGTATATAAGGCCATATGTTTGTATCAATACCCTTTATAATTTTACACAAGTAAAGGACTGAAAGTTTCGAAGCTTGTGAAATGATTCCCTCGTAGAATATTTAACTTATCCAAATAGAACTTTGATGCGATATAGAATGAGACCAGAAAAAAAAAAGTACAGTTATAGTTTAAATTTTGGTAAATCTAAATTAGCCTATAATAAGCTAATTTGAACATTCCGTATTTTTCGAATTTGTTTCCGCAATATTTGTCTGCATTATACTTTGAGAATTCAGAGTTGGATCTGGAAGGAATCATTATCACAGTTTCAATCTTGATATTTGCCAATTAGACTGCAAACAGGCTATTTTACATATTCCGTTTGTTTTGCTTACATGATCGAATCAGAATGTTTATCTAGCAAAAGCAGAATCTAGGATATAAGCCTGAAATTGCTTTTTCTTTAGGTAAATTGTATCATTATCCCTAATTTTTTTTTTTATCAAAGTACATCCCACCAGCAATTGCGTGTAAACAAATGACATTTACTCTCTCTCTCTCTATTAGTTAAAAATTAAAATACTATCTATGTATAATCCTTTTTTTTTTGCTGATCCCTAGTACACGTGGTACAGGCCATGATAATCTTGGTGGGTAGAAGTAGGCGACTGCTTTTACTGTAAGTGCAACACATGTCTACACATGAGAAAAGCAGTTCGATTTTGCACTTACAAATGTGCCAGAGCCCCATTTGGTTGCCTGCACTCATTGGTGGGGTTGGACCTTTGCAAGAATCGGGGGTCATTGGAGCTTTTTTTATATATAAGAAAAAAAGTGGCCAATGCGGGAATCGAACTCGGGTCGTAGCGGTCGAAAACCAATGGTTTAGACCATTCTTCCACCGACCCCCATGTATATTACTGTAGTGTGTGCTCACAGTTTAAAGCCGTTCCCAACTACCCACTACTATTAAATTGACCCGTATCGTATTATTTGATATGTGAAAAAACTAGAATAAATATATCATTTCAAAATATATTTATTAAATACTTAATATTGGCTATTATATTTACAACACACGTGAGAGAATATGATTTAGATAGAATAAAGAGAAAATATGTTATTTACATATATACAATATTGGGAACAGGGTAGGAATCAAATATACAGCATAACTTCAATCGAACGTTGATCAAAGAGACATCGAATCCTATCCTAACATCTAGACAACTGTTACATTGCGGGAACGCCCCTCCCGTTATATATCTTCCACATATCCTTCCATCTTCCTCAGCTATATTGAAGTCATACTGAATAAAGTGGTCTTGGGAATATGTTCTTCATAAAATATATAAGGTAGATTGGCATATATAGGTAAATAAAAATGAAATTTAATACACCTATCCTCCGATTTACACGGTAGATACGTTCCTGAGAAAAACGTGTAAATCGAAAATTAAAATTTTCGCGAAATTTTTATGCGAAGAAATACAGACACAGTGTGTGTGTGCAGCAAGTCAGCACATAAGCTCGGGATTCCTCGTGAGATGTGTACACAGCGCATGTGTTTAATCACAGTAGCATTTAGTATAGTGCGATAAAAACAAACAAAAAAAAACTATTTGGAAAACCGTGTAAAAGCGAAAACGTGTAAAACAAGTACCGTGTAAATCGGAAGATAGGTGTATTTAATAAATTAAAGGGCGAAATTGTGAACGGTATTGAACATATAAAATAATTTTGACAATGATTATTAAGTTGTAAATATGCGCGTACACATGCGACCAGTTCTTAGAGTTAAAGAATAATTTATTTACGATACAATCATATATAGAGAGAATAACTCGTTAAAAATATATAATTAAAAAAAACATAATCATTGTGAATTTTTATAATATAA